CTTGTCAGAGAAGTAATACAGCTCTATTCATGTCATGCAGCCGTGGCAGGACTTTTCGGCCTCTTTCCACACGCTGGGTCATGACTTATGTGAACACAGCAAGTCCAAAAAAGGGAGTCATGTCTGGGCTGTCGGTGGGTTTCTTTTAAAGCAAGCCTCTAGGTCTCTCTTGGGCATCCTAACCGCTCATGTTAATGTCAAAATCTTGTTCTTCTGAGCAGAGCTGCATAAGCGGACATGGCATGTGGGTGCTTATATTTCTTGCCTGACATTACAAGACTTTAACAAAACGCTGTCCCGCATTACAGCGACCGTTCACTTCTCTATGCGTCCTGGGAACGGTTGTGCCACGCTTGACCTGTCTAGTTCAACAACTGTCATTTTTGTTGTATCTTTTTCTACTCTATCTGTGTCTTTTAACCTCTGCTTCTCTAAATTCTTACCCTTTTCTGTCACTGCACTCCTCTTGACATATTTTTCTTGACATCTGCTGTCTACCACAAGGATAAAACCAACCTTGTGGTTTAGACGGTTTGTCATCTACCTGCAGCATTACCCTGGGACAGTGACCCTAGAGCAGGGGTTTTCAAAATGGGCTCTGGGGAGTAGGAACACATGGGGGCCATAAGGAAGTGCAAGGGGGTCAGCAAAAAATTTGAAAGAAAAACAAAGATTTTATCAAATATAATTTTAGGGCTCTAAGAGTTAACCCATGCATTTAAATATTGAAGAAATATGTTTAATATCATGACTTTTTCATATTTATATTCACCAAATTAAATAGGACCATGTGTTTCATTTGCTTTCCGAAGACTGATCAGACTGGTTGTTTATTAAAAAAAAAATTAATTAAAATTAAAACTGAAATGAAAGAAAAGAAAAGAAAAGAAAATACAATTATATATGATATAAGATTATATATTATGATTAAGTAGATTTATTTTAAAATGTTGTTTATGATGTATAAAAATACATATAATATACATAATTATAATATATAATTACAGCATATTTCCCATATCTATGTGTGAAAAAATATGCATATAATTTTTTGGGAAAATAAATAAACAAATATAACATAAAAATCATATATATTTTACCTCTATGATGAGCTGGATGAAAATCGATACAAACATGAGACGATTCAAGTCGGTTGAGATGTTAAACGAATTGCGATACAGGTGGGAGTTTATATAAATGTATCTCTGAGGGGAACTGAACTGACTGTCTTCACAAAAGTTTAGATGGTATTTTCTTTTCATCTTGCCTCTGTATAATGCATATTAAAGTGTTTATAAACGCAGAGCTGCTTTGTTTTACAGCGGTAACCAAGGAAACGCTGCATTGCCGCTGTTCCATAAGCACCACCTGCTGTCAGAGAGTGAATCTGCATCTCATTCAGCCCGTCTGGAATTTGTTTCGTGCCGGTATGTTTTAAGTAGTATGTTTCACAAAGCTAAAGTCAGACCATTCTGTTTTTGCTTCAAATTTCGAAATTATACAAGCTAATTTAAATCAAAAACTACTCATGCTGCATGTGTGTAGCATTTTTGTTTGGATTTTGATTAAAATGCAGTGGTAACCTCTTATTTCAAAAAGGAAAGAGCACAGGCAAAGCCTTAATTTCTTTAAACGAAGATAATTCCTTTATTTGTATTATATATTTATTTGATTTGGGATTTGTTTTAAAATTTCAATTTAGTTTTGTTATTTGACATATTTCAGTTTAACAAAGAAATGAGCAGCATTTTGTCTGAGAAATAATAAAAGGTCAGATTTTCATTTATAATTTGTCTTAAAAAATAATAATAATGAGAGAATCGAATCATGAAGTCAGTATTGTGAATCGTATCGCATCGTGAGTGAATCGTTACATCCCTAACCTCTACCATATGTGACGTACTCTTATCAATTTGAATTCACAAAAAGCTGTCTTTGTAGAAATAAGCAAAAACACATTTTTAAATTGTCAATTGCATCATGAAATTCACAAAAAACAATAAGTCAAAATGACTACACACATCTATACAGTAGGGATGGGAAGATTCCCCGATTCGCTCGGTGCATAGGCATAAAAATTTAACGATGTGATGCATCGGTTTAAAACTAACATATTTGCATCGGTAAAAACCGATTTATTAATATATAATTACTAGTGGATGCACTATACGTTTATTGTTTAGAAAGTGACCAATAATCTGTGACCAATATTTTATATGTAGATTGATTTCTCCTCTCTAAACTGTTTCTCAAGCGCGTTCTCTAATCACTGCTGCTGCGTAGGGATGGGCGGATCGATCCTTAAGTATCGATACTTTCGATACTGATGTTGTATCGAAAGGATCGATCCTCACATAAAAATATCGATTCTAAAGTGCATTTTTTAACCATTAATTGTATTTATTTATCAGGAAATTCAGTTCATAAAATAAGCTTCTAAGTGGAAAGATAGACTATATTAGCGAATAATTGTGTTGAATAGAACCATTTCTCCTGCTCATCAGAACACATGCAAATGCTGTAAGATATGGCGTTATTTTAATTACAAATGTTGAGAGCGCATTATTGTAGCGCGAAAGCACATTAATATAATGCGCGAGCGCGGATTTCCTTTGCTCTCGCACAAAACCCGAGATTTCAAAGATGGATCTGTAATTTCTTTACAATTTAATACTACATAGTCATAATATTAGAAATGAAACGGGTATTTGGATGATTTGTAAATAACCTAGTTTAACAGTTTGGTCAAACCCTTCTGAACGATCTAAACAAACAAAAAAGCATATGATTCTTAAAGTTCATGTGGTCATATAGGTCTATATATATTGTGTACTTGGATTGAAATATATATATATATATATCTTCTGATTTAAGACAGAACTATTTAGATATGGGTCAGATGCACTATTCCCTAAACCAGTACTTACGATTTGGAGACCAAATATAACACTATAATGAATTTTTCATATTTGCCATAACATTACTACATTCTATTCTATGGGTTTAATGCATTTGCAGACAATGTAATTACATGTAACTGTCATATAACTGTATATTCACTGTTTTAGAGAAGAGTGCCATTGAATGTGTAGCTAATATTAAGTGGATTTTCATGAGAAAAAAAA